ATATAGTTGTACTCAGAGAGTTAATGAAACAAGATCGCCACATTCGGCTACAGTGACATAAATCAAAATTTCCCAATTTTATTAAAAATAAACTAAGAACATTATTTTCAATAATTACACAAGTCAAATCATGCCATTACCGCTGAAAAGGTCATTATTAATATGGTGTGGAATATACTTTTCTGAAAAATCATCTGAACTCAAAAGAGGGATAGTTTTGGGTTTTTCTTAATTTTATTTACATTGATCTATAGACTTTAAAATTTGACAAAACAACTACAAAAACTATATAAATTTATTTTTGAAGACCACATTTTAAAATTTCAACAAGTTTTGAAGTTACAAGGTCTCAAAGTTAAACTTATAGTTTTTAACAATTTACATTGTTGCTTTTATTTCATCACCATTTCCAAACTAATTGATCTAAAGACTTCAAAATTTGATAAAATATTTACAAAAAGTGTATAAATACAATTTTAAAAACCACATTTTGAAATTTCAACTAATTTTGAAGTTACAAGGTATCAAAGATGAACTTAATTAAACGTTTCTCCAAAAATAAATAATACAGTCCACTCTGTCAACTTTGTAACTTTTATTAGTAAAAGCGTTGCGATTCCAAATTAAATAACTCGACATATTTAAATATTGAAGCTTATTGAGACCATTGCAAAACAAGTATGAATTTTTTTAATTAAAATAATCCAAATCCGATATTGCATCATCATAGTCGCGATCGCGGTTATATATACCTAAATTGTCGGATATTATTCAACGTAAAAGTTAATACTAATACCCTTAAAATGCGAAGGAAGTGAAAGCTTACAAAAGCGCACATTCGATGACCGGTCAATAGGGATATGCGATATGAGATAAACCAGAAACTAACCATGTATCTTGAACGTTGTATGTTGTACAACGTTACGTAGGTAAGGTACACCTATCATTTCACTTGAAGTGATTTATTTTTACTCAGCTCGCATCTGTAACACAGTATTCAGGTTATTTTTATTTAATTTTTATAATATTTTTTATCTTTAATATATTAGTAGAGGAGCAATCAAGAAATTTAATACATTTTACGTACCGGCATGTGGAACTAGTGCCGAACCTTTTTAAATAGTTCGTAGGGTCCGATTACAATTAGAAGAACACCGCTATGTCATAATCATTACTTCGAATTTCGAATACATATTATCTATAACTGTCAATAAACAAAACATAAGTTGTTTGATATAAAACAATATTTACTATATTCCTATAATATTAACACTCCACCAAACCCCCAGTAGGCGGCGATAACAAATTCATTACTTTGCCAAATAATGACGTAGCTGTATTTTTCTAATTGTAATAGGACCCTACATAACACAATTTCACAGGTATCATCCTAAACTATATATATTTTTTGTTTGCTTCAAAAAGTAATCATTTGAATTTAACTGTTTATGTATAATTAAGTGTAAAAGCTCTGAGCTTTATTAATAAAAATGCAGCAATTTCTACTTTTAATTGACTGACTAATCATCTTCTTGCGTGATAGTGTCACTTGACTTGTAGAACATATTTTATTGGCTATGAAGTGACGCTGACGCTTATATACCACAAGGAGGGTGACGTAATCGTTTTGTCTATTTTAACGTTATGAACTAATCGTACAGGGTTGGCGTAAGATGCAATGCTGCAGGGGCGGCGTAAGGTGTAATGATGAATGTATCTCAATAATACACTTATAATTTAAAAAACAGAGTTAAAAGAGCATACATTGCTTATGAACAATGCCGCCGAACCGTGGGGCGCACCTGGGGTTTCTCTTCCAGAATCGTCGCATGGATTTACACGGCTATCATAAGACCTATGCTAACATACGGTGCAGTTGTCTGGGTACCGAAAACCCAAAAATTAACAGCTATCCATAAACTAGAACAAATTCAAAGAACAGCATGTCTCAACATAACAGGAGCCATGAAAACAACACCGACTAGAGCCATGGAAGTCATTCTTAGTCATTCTTAGAACATGGACTCCATCTCACCAAAATATATCTTTCATAAGGCATATAGTTATAATAGAACAAATAGAAGAGCCAGAAGTGGCAGGTACGATTCATATCTACACCGACGGTTCTAAAACAAAACAAGGCTCAGGATGTGGAATATACTCCACATTCTTAAACCTAAACATAACATGGGCTGTGAGAAATAGTGCCAGTGTAGTTCAAACAGAGCTAACGGGGATTCTCATAGCAGCAAAAGAAATAACCAGACACAATATCACTGGAAGGAACATGCTCATCTATACAGATAGCAGACAAGCACTACTCACCCTGAACAGACCACGAATTTATTCAGGGTTAGTACTAGAATGTCACGAAGTTTTGGCCGAAGTATCCATCAACAACGTGGTCACCTTAAGATGGATCAAAGGTCACGCCACATCGAAAGGTAACCGTCTTGTTGAATCACTATTCAAGAAAGCAGCCAACCAAATACTTTTTGGACCTGGCCCTTCTATTGGCCTGACAAAATCGGTAGTGACAGACCTAATCAAAGAACATTCCCTTGTGAAATTCCAGGAAAGATGGGATGATACAAGAAACTGCAGAGTTGCCAGTGAGCTCTTAAGTTATCCTGACAACACTGTACCAAACAAATACTTGACTGGTCATTGCCAAGTACGAAAGCATCTCCATATCATGGGTCTGTCAGAATCCGAACTCTGCAGAGGGTGCGAACAATAAGATGAGACCATCGAGCATATCCTTTACGATTGCTCGACGATCTCATTTATTAGAAGATTTGTGTTCGGCGAATATCGGCTAACACCGGCCGATATAAGGGAAGCACCTCTTGGCAACGTTGTCAACTACATAAAATCTGTAGGATGGCTCACGAGCTAGGAGGTGCCTATCTTCTCAGGAGGATGCACCATGGGACTAATTAGGCCTAAGTGCCGTGGGGTAACCCACCCTCCATACATTATAGATACAGATACACTTATAATTTTAATTTTTTTGATATTTTCTCAACTACTAATTAAATAATAAGCAATAGAGTGCGAATATCACAAAATTGCATTAAAAAGATATGGCAGATTTCAGTGACCTTCGGCTATTTCATTGGATCCTTTTTTCTAAAACCGAGTAGAGTGGTCAAGTCAGAGTCGACTCGTTTTTATTTTAAATTTATTTACAGAATTATACAAATAAATAGTAAAAATGGACTTCGAGATTGTAATTGACTTTCCACTTTCCCAATTTTCATGAGAAACGAAATTAACACTTAAGCTTTTATTACGATCTTCAAGACAGCTCCAAGACGACCATAAAGCAGCTTCTAGCCAAAAAGGGTCCATCTTAAAGGGCTTTCAAAACTATATTATAACATTTTAGTTTTATTCTTAAAGAATTCTTCAAGGCAACTTTTTTTATGAATTAAAACTTATTGATTGACGTTTTGCGATTAAAATATATTTGCGACAGACTAAATTACCTTGAGAATTATTATAATAAATTCTAAGACTTAAAATAGCCAATATGAAGAGTATTATTAAACCAGTATAAGATCAATAGATCATTGAGAGAAACTAATTTAAAACAGTGCATTAAATTCTTTGCATAAGAATAAGTGGTATTTAGTCTATCTTAAAGTAACTTTAAAACCAATATTATTTTGTTAAACTGTTTACAAAAAAAGTAGAAATATATTTTTGAAAACCAAATTTTGAAATTTCAACTAGTTTTGAAGTTATAAGGTATCAAACTTGGACTTTTTAACAATTTGATATTGTTGCCTTTATTTCATCGCCATTTCCAAAATAAATGATCTATGAGTTTAAAATTTGATAAAATATTTACAAAAAGTGTAGAAAATAGATTTTTGAATTCCATATTTTGAAATTTTAACAAGTTTTAAAGTTACAAGATGTCAAAGATGAACTTGGATTTTTTAACAATTTACATTGTTACCTTTATTTCATCACCATTTACGAAATAATTGATCTATAGACTTCAAAATTTGATAAAATATTTACAAAAAGTGTAGAAATGTAATTTTGAAAACCAAATTTTTAAATTTCTACTAGTTTTGAAGTTATATGGCATCAAAGTTGAACTTGAACTTTTTAAAAATTTGATATTTATTTTACATTGAAACGGAATAACAATAAATATTAAAAAAGGCTTTATAAAAAAACAACAATTCTTAAAAACACACTTATTCTATTCAATTTGTTTTGTTGACTTTGATTCATTACTGATGTAGATTTTGTTATTTTTGATGACATGGATCTTGTTGGCAGCACGACTCATTATGCAAAGATTGACTTCGGAGATTTGTCAAAAGATTTAAATGATGTTCGCCATCAAGTTGTAAATATGGATTTATAGATTTAAATAATGATTGTTTAGTTATTTTAATTAATTCAGTTTGAATTTAATTAATTTAGAGCCGGGCGTAGTTTTATCTTACTACGTACCTTTGGTGCGATCTTGAGCACTTGCATATCAAATTATGTACTATTAATTAATCGCGTCTATATGAAACACCCTGTATATCGTAGTGCAGAGACATTTTTTACTAATAGTTAATGAGATTCGAGATGTAATGGTAATAAGGTAATGGTACTCGAGCAGGTGTCATTGAACATGTTTGTATCGTAGATTAAATAGTTTTTATTATTTAAAAACATAATAATGGCTTATAATTTACGCGTTGGATATTATTTTTCTACAATTGCGTAATTAATATTGTTTTTCTGTTACTTTCGTTCTTATATTATATTTACAAATAATCAGATAGATAGATAGACAATTTTTATTATCCATCAGTTACCTCGGATTATAAATTTATAAGTTTAAAGTTTGTTTTTTATTAAACTATAGAATTTCATGGAAAATATGAAAAAAGGTAAAAATTATTTTTGTTTTTCTTATATATTACATCGCCAAACTTCTAAATTTGCAAAATATTGAATAATTTGCACTCTTTTCTATTGCTTACCTTTCTTGATGGTATCATCTGTATTACTGCTGTCTGCCTCCTGTAAAAATATACCTACTTTAGTTCAAATTACTATAATTTTAACAGCGAATACAAAACAAATCAGTTACAGACTATTTCTGTCAGACGGTCATGGCTATGTTGATAAATATTAGCGGCAGATAAAATGTTTGATTTTTATAGTTAAATAAAGTGTTTATTTCCGCAAATCGCTATGGTAATGCATGGCTTTATTGACCGTTGGCAATAAAAGTATTTTATTCTTCTACTTTTATTTTCCCTGTATACTACTTATATTTTACAAAATTTAATGGTTGATTATGGATTCACAAGTGATGCAGAACATTTTATGTATAATTTTTTTTTAAACAAAATTTTTTTCATATGTATAATTTTGTTTAGGGCACACTGTGTCATAAATTGCAACGTGCATTGTAAACCCCCAATTTTTTGGTCACCAACCGCCATTGGTAATAAATATCTCATAGTTAAACAATAGTTTCTGAAATAAACATTCAGATATACTTTTTGTGTCATAAGTTATCTGAGAAAAAGCATAAACAGATTCAAGCAATTTAAGACGCAATATTTTGGATTATAACAATAAAACCTTGTGCAATTATTATTATTGTTTTTTAGTCTAATCAATAGTCGAAGATAATGTATCTCCCCGTTTCCAAAATAATGCATTTCGAAAACAATATTTCTTCAACAAAGTAACTATACATATACGAGGATAAGATGAATAATTTCTAGCTTATACGAGAAATAACAAAATAGGGAGTAAAAAAAAACATTTTTACGTCTTCTTGAATAACACACGATAACTCTAGACCGACAGCTTTTGATTTTATTTAGTTTCCTCCATCTGAGAACCCTATTTATTTTCAATATTTTTAGATCGGCAGACTTAATATTTTGATATGGGCATGTTTATGGATATATATTATTACAAGGGCAGGCTTAATTTTGTAAAAATAATAAAAACACACTTGTCTGTTTCTGATAAAGCACAGAATATACTATTTATTTTAAATAATTTCATTGGTAAATTATTTGCTATTTTTTCCAAATCGAGTTTTTATTTTTATTGTTCCTTCTTGAGAAATTGAAATTGAATTTTTCGAATTTTCACACTCTGAACTCATTATAATTGTCTTAGGGGGTACCCAAACGTCAAAAAATATTTCTAAACTTTTTTCGATCTTTCATTATGCCTTCCTATCGATTGAGCATTTTTTCCTAAGTCGAAATTTGATTTGAAAATTGTATTTTTCAGATTTTCACAATCTTTGGGCTCAAGTTTTTGAATTGATGATATTAATTTAAAGAAAATTCAATTTCTTTCAGAAATGTGTAACTTATTCTGTAACTAATAATTTATGACATAGATTTTATTGGAAATATCGTTTAATATTAGTAACTTTTATATAATAGATCATTTTTAAAAATTGTTTAATTTTACCTGTTAAGATTTTCCGGTAATTTTGGCTATTTTCCATTTTTAAACATCGATTGATTTTTTTGAAATTAAACTCTTATTTATTTTTGTTTTGTTTTTTTGTTCCTCAACGTAGAAAGCAACTAATAAACATTGGCAGGGTTAAACATAACATCGTTACGAAAAGCACATTTTATGCATTAAGTTTGAATGTATGTTTTTATCGGTTTACAATTATATTTTGCGTAGTTGGCGATCTTTTTCATAATACACGTTCGGAAATACAATTTGCGCTATTTTGGCTCCAATATTTGTTGATTCTTTATAGATTTACGAATTAAATAATCGCTACGTTCATGCTAAAAGTCCTATTTATGAATTTCTAAAGATGAAAGTTAGGTTAGTAGCTGCATGAAGTAGATATTAAGTCTGTAAGATAACTATATATAATTGTGAGTAAAAGGCTGACAGATATATGGATAGTTTTTATTATTTTTGTAGATATATGGTTAGGACTTGTCAAAAAGAAGACAAAGCAAAGAAAAATGGAAAAAGCTGAGAAATAAAGAAAAAATTAATGCATCGACCAAATATCGAACCTGGAACCTTCTTCCAATTGCCACAACCACATCCCCAGCTAGTCATTGATAAAAGTGTATTTGTTGTGAAGCTAAAGCCTAAATCATTCCATCTCTAAATCGAAGTGAGAGAACCGATTATGTTGACATAACATATCGGACCACTCGTCATCATTCTGCTACTGTATTGAAAACATCAAAGGGCGTATCAGTCTTAAAGGGAAATATTTAATATCAATTAATTTTCTCACTAATTATTTTTTCTTATTTTTAATTTTAGCAGATATACATTGTTTTCTAAAATAACTAAGTAATTAAATGAGAAAGGATTCCGGTTTTATTATAAAATTAGCCTTATACTTATTTGCGTATATTTCTTTGTGATATTTTGATCAAATTAACTTTTCGTAAAGAAAATTGAAAGCGACATATTATTATATAAAAGAACAAATATATATTTTGAATATTAAAAAAAACTTATCAAAAAGGTTTTTTCTGATTAGTAATTGTTAAGTCTATAGTTTCTTAGATTAAAACTAGGTCACGCTATCGTGATATAAAAAAATTTAATATCAACTTGACATGCAACTTGCCAAAAAATACCTAAATTTTCTACATTTATAAAATGAACAAATTTTTATAAAATATTATATTTAAAACAATAAACCTATAAAATACAGTCCATTACTCATCGTAACAGTAGGTACGCCAGCTTATTTACAATTATTATAGTTAATCTAACAGTTGTAAATCATCAAATATAAATCTACAGATAATTGACTGAAAATACCCATATTTTTGGTAATTAAATTTGTGTACGTCTATCCGATTAACCTGCAAGTTAAATATGTAAAATAATGAATGAAAAACCAGATAGCTCAAATCAGTAAATAGTTATTTTTGTTCAGAAAAAATTATACGTCCTATTTTCAAAATAAAACTCACGCTGGTTGAACTGTAAGGTATTAAAAGTACCCAAAACACTTTTTTTAAAGACTTACGCTTTTTGTAGCATAAAAAATTTAACTCGTTGCAAAATAATCGAAATTGAAAGGTGATAAAATTTGTATGCAACCAACAATACTGTCGTTTGTAATATTTTTTATTATTGTCTTTACCGTAAGCCATAAAAAATATTTTTTTAATAATAAAATGTGTTTTACTATCAACTGTGATGAGTGACTTTAAACCAGCAAGTAATATTATAGAGATAACAATGTAAAATGATGGTTGAGTCAAAGTCGCCCTCTACCTGCGGGTGGCTTTGCACACCCCTTTTTTATTTTTTATTTGAAAAATTAAGACCATTTGAGATATTTTTGCTTAATAATTCCTAAAATATAACTGAAGACTAAATTATGGCGAAAATGCGAGTTTGGATTTGCTTTTATTTAACAATGGAAACTAAGTTTAAATTTTGACAGTGCTGCACTGTTGTTAGATTTCGTATTTCTTATGGAAAATGAATTCATTGCTACTGTTAAGAACTCCGTAAACTTGGCTGCAATGTTCAATCAGAATATTGCATTTCTGCCAAGGACGCTTAGATAGTGAACCGTGTTGGCTTCAGTAATTTTGTAAACAATCCTGTCTGTCTTTTGGTTATATCCACTGCTGCCAAGAACAAAAGACAAGGGAATAGAAAAAAAAGCCAATAAAATTAAGGTAGATTTTCAGTGAAATCACATAAAATATTGTTGCGTTTGGACCTTAATTGTTCCCCCCTCGAGTTTACAAGACAAAAACGTTTGGGGACCTCTGTAATATAAGTAATAATTAATAATTTATGTCATAAATTATATTGGAAATTTCGTCTAAAATCAGAAATCAGTACTTTTTAAAAAGTAGAGAATTTTTAAAAATTGTCCAATTTGCAATTTCAAAACACTCTGTATATTATGAAACTTGTCATAGACGTTGGCGCTTTTGTTGAGAACGCATTATAATAAAGGAATTTGCAAATTTTATATAACAGGAAATTTGCCACGGTAGCAACATGACCTTGCTCATAATAAATTTACAACCTTATAGCAGAAAATCAAGCCAGCAAAATAACCTAAATCGCATTTCCATAATAATTTTATTATAGAAACAGACGTATTATTCTCGGATTTTATTTTAATAAAAAAATATCGCTAAATTTGCAACTTTTCGTTTAGTTACGTTACATATTAATATACAGCGAGATATGGTAAAGATAGTACATGACCTGCATTTATTTACTCTTTGGTATTATTTTGTAAAATTGTTTAATCTGTTGTTGTGTTGCATCATTTTCGAAGTGATTCAATATTAAAGTCAAAACCGTGGTGTGTTTCTGATTCTGATAGACAATCGCTGTATTTATTTACAAAAACGAAAAATATTAATTAATCTTCGTATCTTAGGTACGTAAGTACCTAATAGGCTAAGAGCCAACGACCGTTAGACATACGTTACAGTATAAAGGTTAAGATTTTTTCACAGATAAGGTGTTATGGACCTTCACTATAGGTAACCGATCTTCGAGGACCTAAAAATTATTTATATACAGGGTTTTTCATAATAAAATACCGTAAACTGGGGGACATATAGATTTTAACCAATTATTAAGAAAAACTAAATATAATTTTTCTGTAAAAGTCCGTTTTCATTTTACAGGTTAATAAAATGAATTTCATGAATACATAATTTTCTAACTATATTCCTTTAAGGTAAAGAATTTAACTTAGGTTTTTGGTATCTCTATTTATTTCAACTCAACTTTTACAACTCAAATATTCTACTGATACAAAGTCTTATAAAACTGAGTGTCTGACGTCAAAATCAACGACTTATATAGCTCGATTTAACCTTATAGAACCTTCCCGAACGTCCAGATGTTTCTTGACGTGGGGAATTTTTTGTTGTATAGAGAAAGTAAAAGTTGAAAAGTCTTTTGGTAGGTAGAGAGGGGGTAAACGTCAAACCACGTCGGGCGGCTCCGAGAATTTCACAGTAATGTTTACCTGCCAGTGTCGTTTCATAGAATAAATAATTTTA